CCTAAGCCCTAAACCCTAAGCCGTATAACCCTAGTTACTAAGTCCCCTGAACCTTCAAGCAACCCTACTTGATCGTGTGCGACTCCGACGGCACCATCGCCAGTCCGACGTGCCGCCGGTAAATTCGCCGGCATGGATTTCGCCGGCGTCGAGAGCGCCTTTGGAGCTTCCTCGCTCGGCTGTTGGCACTGGTTCTTCGACGACTGCGACACAGTCTGGGGGCCCGAGAAGAACCGGGTCATCTACATGCGCTACATCGGCTGCGAGAAAGAGACCTTCCAAGCGGTCGTCGGCGCATTGAAACCCTTCATCAACTGGAGCAGAAAGTTCGGCTGCGTGATCACAGCCATGGGCGGCGACGTCAATTCTCTGCGGAATGACAAAAAACCCAGGTTCACCAACGCCAGGCACCTCGCGTCAAAACCACATTATGGAACCCATGTTGACCCCATAGAGGAACCGTTGAAGGAGCCCTTTAGGGAACACTAAAACCCTAGTTCCCTTATTTACAACGTTTGTTACTAAGTCCCATGAACCTTAACCCCTAACCCAAAAAACCCTAAACCTCTAAACCCCTAAACCCCCCTAAACCCTAAACCCTAAGCCCTAAACCATATAACCCTCGTTCCTAAGTCCCATGAACCTTTAAGCAACCCTACTTAAAACCCCCATTATGGAACCCATGTTGACCCCATAGGAACCGTTTAAGGAGCCATTTAGGGAACACTAGAACCCTAGTTCCCTTATTTACAACATTTGTTACTAAGTCCCATGAACCTTAACCCCTAACCCAAAAACCCCTAAACCTCTAAACCCCTAAACCCTAGACCCTAAGCCCTAAACCGTAGAACCCTAGTTACTAAGTCCCATGAACCTTTAAGCAACCCTACTTAAAACCCCCATTATGGAGCCCATGTTGACCCCATAAGGAGCCCTTTAGGGAACACTAGAACCCTAGTTCCCTTATTTACAACGTTTGTTACTAAGTCCCATGAACCTTAACCCCTTACCCAAAAACCCCTAAACCTCTAAACCCCTAAATCCTAGACCCTAAGCCCTAAACCGTATAACCCTGGTGACTAAGTCCCATGAACCTTTAAGCAACCCTACTTAAGCAACCCTACTTAACATCCCCATTATGGAACCCATGTTGACCCCATAAAGGAACCGTTTAAGGAGCCCTTTAGGGAACACTAGAACTACTGTTGATGGACAAAATTCTGCATGACCCAAATATAGTATAGTACCATAAATCCCATAGTTTAGGTATATAAGGTCATGCAGGACTTTGTCCATCAACCGTAGGAACCCTAGTTCCTAAGTCCCATGAACCTTTAAGTAGCCACCAGCTCGCAAGATGCCTGCCGCACCTCTCGCGCGACCGGCTTGACGCAGAGTGGCTCGGCTCTATAGCTTGGGCTTGCAGAAACAACAAGCCCTAAACCCTAAACCCTAAACCCCTAAACCCCTTAACCGCAAACCCTTGACCCTTAACCCCTAGCCCCTAAACCCTTAACCCTAAACCCCTGAACCCCTAAACCCTAAATACCTAAACCCTAAACCCCAGACCCTAAGACCCTGAACCCTAAACCCCGGGGAGTTTTTGAAGGCTTTCAAAAGGCTAACGTTTCTACAGCGCTTCAAGGCTTGGGGTTAAGATTGCAGGCTTTTTTTAGTTTAGGGTTGAGGGTTTAGGGTTTAGGGTTTAGTTTTTTTATTATTTTTATTTTTTTTGCGGGTTTTCGGGTTGGGTGTTTAGGTCTTTGGGTTCTAGGGTTCAGGCCAGTCCGGGCTAGGTTTTAGGCTGCGGGGTTGAAGATTTCCGGAAGGGTTGTGCAGTTTATACCCTAAGCCCTAAACCCAAAACCCTAAGAACGAAAAGCCCTAAACCGCAAACCCTGAAATAGCCTGGGTTTGGTTTAGGCATAAGACTCCCAGATCAACTTACGCCATCCCGGGCCACAACCAAAACCAGTTCTCCCTGAGCCGACACCCGAAGCCGTCAGCCCTAGACTCTGCCACATACCCAGACCCCCGAAAGGATCCAGAAAGTAGAACCCCTAATTTGGGGCCCTATACTACGAAAGGGTCTTTATAGAAACCCCCATTAAGGGATCTACTTTTTGGATCCTCCCGGGGGTCAGGGTAAGCCCGAAACCCTGAGCCTTAGGGTTTAGGGTTCAGGGTTAACCTCTCTAAGGACTTTAGGAGGGACCCCCAATAGGGACACTTAGTCCCATTGCCTTAAATAACCATTGTATAGTCCTTATATACGCCTTATATAGCTAGATAGTCTCCAAATTAACTCCAATACCTCAATAACTATTAAGGGTCAATGTTCCACCCCAAGTCCCAACCCGAGCCACCTGCTGCTTAGCCCGGAAGGCGGACGCTAGGCCCTGAGCCCTGAAATACAGGAGGTTCGGGCTACTTCTAGTCTGTAAGGCACTGTAAGGATTCCCCGTGTACAAGTCCCCCTATGTTAGGCACCCGGGTTATCATGTTGGGGTCTAGGTGCAGTGGTTAGGTTTTCAAGCGTCTAGCCCCGAACTGCAGGTGGTGGACGTGCTTTTTCCGATTCCTCCTCGACGAGCGTGAGAAGGTTGATCTAAACGATGTTGTGGATCAGCCCGCCTTCCGGCCTGATAAGCCCTACCTGGACCCTTAAGAACCTCTTTTGGGGTTCCTTATGATGATTTCCTTGTATAGATCCAGAGAAAGGTAGGCTCTTTGCGGTTTAGGTAAACCGTAAACCCTAAACCCTGGTTCAGCATTGAGCCATGTTGAATGTGCAGGGCAGCCTTCGTTTTGGTGGGTCGATGATAGTAGCTATAACCAATAACCATATGGGTAGTTTTCTAAACTAGGGTCCCTTTTGGACCCGAATTTCGAGACCTGCCCGTATAGAGACTAATCAGAGCACTTGTTATTCCTTCGTCAGACCTCCATGTTACCATAAACTCAAGCCCTAGCCCCAAGGGTCCTATATAGGGACTACTTTAAGGCCGAAGTATCCACTGTTTGAGTACATGGACCCCGGAGGGTACCTTACCGAGGTTTGGTTGATCCGCGGAGAACGTCAGAAGATGCCGACGCATGCAGTGGCCGTCTTCTGTGCGGTGCTCCAGCTGCGGTACAGGGCTTTTGTAGGTTGCTATAGGTTTCAAAGAGGGTCAAGATAGTAACATTCCATCATAGCCCCTACATACATATACCGATACCGATACTGCGATACATACACCCTGCAAAAAGCAATCAGCATCTAACCCTAAAGCGGTAAAGCCGCTTCAGGGTGCAGCTGTTGGGGCTGAAGCGTTGCAGCGCTATTGGGTATAAGGTCTAGGGTTAAGCTAGGTATTGTAATAATCCCTAAACCCTAAACCCTAAACCCTAAACCCTAAACCCTAAACCCTAAACAGTAATAATCGTGTTCACAATAATGGCCATCACCACAAATTCTCATAGCAAAAAATCTCTGCAGCGAGAAGGCCCTGTAACCTCAAGCAAAACCCCGAACTCTAAGCCGTCCCCGAGCCCCCTAAAAGCCTAAAACCTAGAGCCCTAAACCCTAATTTAGGGGTTGGGGTTTGGGGTTTGGGGTCTAGGGTCTAGGGAAACCCAATAGCCCTAAACCCTAAACACTGCAGTCGATGACATGCTGGAATGGCTACTAAGGCTTGGTTCCCCAGTAGTACCCTTTTGCCCTTTTTCTTTGTGGGGCTCCCCTATTAAAACCGAATAATTAGTAGGAAACAGGGTGCCCTTATTATGAAGGGTTTGCTGGGGAACCTAAACCCTAAACCCTAAACCCTAAACCCTAAACCCTAAACCCTAAACCCTAAACCCTAGAAGCCTACTAAGCGAATCTACACCAAAGGCCCCTCTCAACAGTTTCTGGCGGATCGGTGAACCCTAAACCCTACTTGAAGAATCATACGGACTTAGTAACTAGGGTTCTAGGGTTTAGGGTTTAGGGTTTTCGGGGTTTTGGTTTAGGGTTTAAGGTTCATGGGGCGCAGTAACTAGGGTCATAAATTAAGGTACCTATACTTATAACTACTTATAACCCCAAGTAAGGTACTTATAACTGTACTTGCCACGTCCCGGTTGTCCTCCATGTAAGCCCTACCCAGACCCCCCGAAAAATCTAGAAAGTAGATCCCTCAATGGGGGTTCCTATAAAGAGCCCTCAGTAGTATAGGGTCCCAAATTAGGGGATCTACTTTCTAGATCCTCCCGGGGGTCTGGGTAGAAGCAACTATGGGCTCCCGCAATTACGGCTGGAAAAGGCCATAAACCCTAAACCCTAAACCCTAAACCCTAAACCCTAAACCCTAAACCCTAATCCCTAAACCCTAAACCCTAAACCCCAGCACAGGTCCAAGGCTATGAGGAACCCCCAAAGGCCTTAGGTTTTAGGGTTTTTAGGGTTCACAAACCCTTAGTTAGGATTTCTGGCTTAGGGTTTGGGGTTTTGGGTAGAGTCTAGAATCCCTCAGTTAGGGTTTGGGGTTTAGGGTTTATAAAAACCCTTCAACTCTAAACCCTAAACCATACACCCTAACCTCTAAACACCAAGTTCTAAGCCCTAAACCCTAAACCCTAAACCCTAAATCCCAAACCATGGGTCCCTGAGTGGGCCCTGGAAGTCTCCATGTCTCTGAGGTGCCCGCGCACCTGCGGCCTTGGCGTGAAGAGGTGATCTTTCTTGCAGCTGGGACTTCGGTCCAGAGGGTTTAGGGTTTAGGGTTTAGGGTTTAGGGGTTTGGGTTTAGGGTTTAGGGTTTAGGGTTTAGGGTTTAGGGTTTAGGGTTGCAGGAGGTCTTTGGGGTTTCGAGTGTGGGATGTAGGGTTGAGGGTTTAGGACCTAGGGGGTTTAGGATGTAAGATTTAGGGTTAGGGTGTAAGATTTTGGGTTTAGGGTGTAAGATTTAGGGTTTAGGGTGTAAGATTTAGGGTTTAGGGTGTAGGATTCAGGGTTTAGGGAAGTTCCCGTTTGCAGCACTATGGGTTCTTCCGTGAGGAGTAACACGGATTATAGGCTCCAGGTCAGTTCCGCGGCTTCGCCACGTGTTCGTGCGTGCAAATCGTGCCGCAGCCGGGCTTCTCGCATGTCGGTCAGCACTTGCGGCCCCAAACCCTAAACCCACGACCCTAGACCGTAAACTCTAAACCTTAAACCCTAGACCCTAAACCCTTGTGCGTTGCCGGGTGAAGGGAGCACGGTTCCAACCTCGGATCGACAACAGCGAGGGGGAGATCTTGGTGTCGAAGATGTACCTGCCAATGAGTAGTGGCGACTTCGATGATGGCGTTGACTCGTGTGGGCTGTGTGCCGTGGAGTTGCCTGGTCTCTGCCTTGTGGAGATGCTTGTGAAGTTGGCAAGTGGATGGTGCACATGGCCATGGCGCTGCTTTCTTCGAGATGGACTACCCGATCCACTTCGCCGATGTCATGTTTCACCTCTGTAGGTCCTCTCGGACTGGTGCTTCTGTGAAGTTGCCAATACACGTTAAAAAAAAAAACCCTTGTGGCCCACCGCCCCCTCTAGGGATGTTGAACTTGACGTGGACTGGAAGCCAAAGTCCCCGAATACCCGGACATGCCAAGACAGGGGGTTTAGGGTTCGAGGTTTAGGGTTGTAGGGTAACCCTAATCCCTGTATTAAGGCCCCTACCCTACACCCTAATCCCTGTATTAAGTCCCCTGCCTAAACGGGTAGTTCTCTAAATTAGGGTCGCTTTTTGAGGTCCCCAAAGCAGTACGGCACCCCTATGAAGAGGACTCAAAGGCAACGAAGAAAACATTGTTTCGAGGGCTTGGGTTTGGGGGTTAGGATTTAGGGTTTAGGGTTTGGGGGCTAGGATTCATAGGGTTTAGGGTTTGGGGGTTAGGATTTAGGGTTGCAGAATTGTGACTCATTGTGACCTCTCTAACTTTTGTACATATACATAAACCCTAAACCCATGCTACACGGCCCGGATCTAATGCCGGAGCAATGAGTGCCCAGAGCTGGCCGTAACTCTCAAGCCCTGAACTGGCAGTGGGTTGGGTGATGTAAACCCTAAACCCTAAGGGGCCTAAGCCCTACGGTTTAGGGTTTAGGGTCTCGGGTTAGCCCGGAACCCTAAACCCTAAACCCTAAACTAGACTGTAAAACTTACGTCGACTCCGGAGCAGCAAGAACCCAGAGAGCCCAACACCCTTGAGTTAAGCAATGCTGCTGAAACTAAAGCGGCAGCCTTATGTCGACTCAAGCTTAAGGCTTACGCCTTAGTAGGCTCTCTTGTTTATGAATGTTGCTTGAATTGTTCTGGTCCTCCCTGCTCTAAATTAAGGAATATTTCTCAATGTACCGGGGATGCATATGCTGCGCTCTCTGACGCTAAGGAGACCGCTTCGCCCGCAGAGCTGCGCTTTGCACAGCTGGCCACCTGTCCGTAGTTGTTTCGCTTCAGTCTCCGGGTCGTAGGGCTACAAGCATCATACCTTAAACTTAGGGGTACTTAGAAATCATTTTTAATCTTTGGTTACTATAAACCCTAAGAAGCAACTAAAATTATAATTTTTGCTAGGGGTCTAAGTTCAGTATAGTAAACCCTAAACCCTAAACCGTTGTAAGGGTTCTAGAAGGTTCAGAAGTTGGACATGTCTGGGTTGAGGGTTCAGGGGTTTTGGGGTTTTGGGGTTATCAGTGCCTCAACAATATTCTAGTAGCAGAACTATACAAAGACCCAGAACTTACAACCCTAAACCCTGAACCCTGAGCCGTAAACCCTAAACCCTAAACCTTAAACCGTAAACCCTGAACCCTGAACCTTGAACCGTAAACCCTGAACCCTAAACCTTAAACCCTAAAACTTGAACCCTAAACCCTAAACCCTCTGCTGGCCGCCCTTGCTCCAGTCGACCCGGGTCACCGTTAAAGTGAGCTAGCCTCCGGCCAGGCTTTGGGTTTAGGGGTTTAGGTTTTAGGGTTTAGGGGTTTAGGGTTTCAGGGTTTTAGGGTTTAGGGGTTTAGGGGTTTAGGGGTTTAGGGTTTGGGGGTTTAGGGGTTTAGGGGAATGCATCCAAGGAGCTAGGGTGCCGAGGTGAAAGAAGAAGCAAACGATCAACCCCCGCATCAAGGGGAATGACCTCAGTTCTGGAACTTCTTGGCTTCAAGGGGATGTCTTAGGGGCCTTCGCCACGGATTGGCAGGTGGATGCAGCTTGGGATTTTTGGGATTTCAGGCTATTCAATTCATGCTTCCACCTTCTTACACGTCGGGACAGCGTGTCAAGCACGGGGGAACGGCAGGCACGAACATGACCTGTAGACTAAGGCAACACGCAGAAAAACCAAACTTCAAGCAACACCACCCGGCCCTGCCCTGAACTCACTCAGACCCTTGAATTTGCAAAGAGCTGCCCCCTAGCTTCGACGCCCCTCTGCGTGAGATTGGAACACCTACCAAGCCTTCGCTGGCTTTTCGGCCCAGGGACGGTCCAAGTCCTTTGGGCTTCGGCTGGTAATACCACAGCATCACCTTGCTACATGGAAGGAGATGAATAGGCAAAGGTTCTACCACATGCACCCTGACATGTAGTCAGGGTTGACATGCAGATGTGGGAAGCACCACAAACACTTTCCTGAACCCTAAACCCTACACCCTAAACCCCAAGCCATCCAAGCCAGCCAGTGGGCAGCGTAGGACACCACGAAGGTGGTCAGTGACTTGCTGAGCTCCACCAGCCATATGGTGCCAACGACGTAGTAAACCTCTGTGTCACATGGTACATGAAAGGACTTGCTCCCCAGTCTCCCCAACAGCAGAGTACCCCGGTTCCCCGATTTCAGTGTTAAGAAGGGAGCCCTTAATTAACAAAAAAGGGCACAAGGGTACTACTGAGGAACCTAGGAAAGCAGACCCGTGCCGGTCAGACCTGAGTTACGTCGCCCCTCGACATGCTTGGAGGATCATGGGACTTAGAAACTAGGGGTATAAATAAGGTAACCATAGTTTTAACCCTAATTAGGGTTCTTGCAACCTTACTTACTAAGTCCCATGATCCTCCAAGTGGTGTACGACCCTCAAGGTCTTGCCGAAGCGCTCATTTCGACACATTTCCAGCTCAGGAGAAGGCTAGCTTCCAATACCCAGTTTGGCTTTATATAAGGCTTTCAGGGACAAGTGGGGGTGTGAAGGTTGATATATATATATACACGGGGGCCTGAACGAATTGCGCTTGGGGGGTATAATGTATTGGGGATTCTAAGGGGATGAAATAAGTATTTGTGTTTAGGGACGGGTCTGGGGTTCAGAAACAGATCCGAAGCACCAGCATGGCTGTCTGCTCGTGGCTAAAGACGAGCTTGCGGGTCATTCCAGCCACCACGTCCCCCCTCGACTCCTGCGCCGACGCTTTCGGGGGGTGAAGGTTTCAGGATGTTGCAGGGCCCTGGACGCATAGCTTAAGGGTGTAGGGTTTAGGGTTTAGGGTTTAGGGTTTAGGGTTTAGGGTTTAGATTCATAAATGGGATTCTGGATATCGCGCCACTGCCGATGATGTGGATCCATGACCACCCTTAATCTCTAAATCCCTCCTACTCCCTTAAGCCCCCTTGGAACCCTAACAAGAACAATATTGCTAATTGTCCCTAGGAGTTTTATTATCATTATGCTAAAATCAAAGCATACTTCCTAAGAGCACTGAAGATCATGAATCATGACCATGCTACAAAACATCAAGAACCATTCCTAAGAGCACTCAATACTGTTGATGATCTAAATCCTGGATTACCCCAAGGACCCTGAACAATGGGAAGTATGGTCTGCTCCTTCTTATGGGTCATGCAGGATTTATACCACCAACCGTATCTTGACCCTCGCCAGTCCAGGCCCCAAACCCCAAAGCCCTAAACCCTAAACCCAAACACCCGAAAGCCCCAAAGCCTAAACCCTAAACCCCTAAAGCCCCAAACCCTAAACCCCTAAACCCTAAACCCCTAAACCCTAAACCCCTAAACCCTAAACCACTAAAGCCCCAAACCCTAAACCACTAAAGCCCCAAACCCTAAACCCCCAAACCCCTAAACCCTAAACCCCTAAAGCTTTAAACCCCTAAACCCCAAACCCTAAACCCCTAAACCCCTAAACCCCTAAACCCCTCGCCAGTCCAGGCTTGTTGGCTCCATTTCGGCGGTGGCCAAGAGCCACGTCAGCCCACTGAAGAGCTGGAACCTCGGGGTTCATCGAATGTAAGGGCCTTAATAGTTACAATAGGGTTTAGGGTTTAGGGTCCCTAAACCTCGGGGTTCATCGAATGTAAGGAGAATTAATAGTTAGAATGGGGTTTCATAGGGTCCCTTTTCAGGGTTCCGTAAAGGGTTCTATAAGGGCTACTATAAGGGCTTAGGGTGCAGGGGCCTTAATAGTCAAAATAAGGCCTTTGGGGGGCTCAATAAATATACTATAACTATAATAAGGAACGCCCCAAAATAGCTCGGGGTTCATCTAATGTAAGGAAATTAGAGTAGGGCTTTTGGGGCGGGCCTCCCTTTATAAAGGTTCCTTAACGGGCTCTATAAGGGCTACTATAAGGGTTTAGGGTGTAGGGGCCTTAATAATTAGAATAGGGTTTTGGGGCCCAATATACTATAACTATAATGAGGAACGCCCCCCCAAATAGTATAAAAAGGCAATATATGAACTCTCTAGCATACGGTT